AAAAAAAAAAATATTGCTATAGATTAATACAATATTTTGGTAAAGTAATTGGCAAATACATCTCCACTGCCAAAAATAATAATTTTCTTTGTCCTAGTAATCCTATTCTTAGGAATTTATCTCGAGGAAATAAATCAAAAGACATGTTAACAAAGGTGAACATTTGTGGTGTTATTGGACCTCAGCAGGTCGGAACAAATTAAAATATTTGCATACATGGAAAGTAATCAGTGTATTGTTTTTTCTTTTAAAAAAATAACTGTTTTTTGTCAGATGTGTTTCAAGCACAAAAGACTTGCAAAAAAAAGTAGAGTTCCTGTATAACCTTCACTCAGCTTCTCCTAATTTTAATAATATCTTATCTTATAAAACCATGATATAATCATCAAAACTAAGAAATTAACATTGGTATAATACTATTAACTAACCTACAGACTCTATTTAGATTTTAACATTTTTTCTGTTAATGTCATTTTTTTGTCCTAGGATCCAATTCAGGATCCATACCATTTAGTTATCACATCTCCTTAGTCTGCTCCAATCTGTGACATTTCTTCAGTCTTTTCTTGTCTTTCATGCCTTGTAAATCTCTTGTTCTTCAATTTTCCCCCGACAATTTTAGTATCCATTGATGGATCTTGCCTGCAGCAGTTACTACTCAAGTGTTCTAACGGTGATTTTCTAGTATTCTCATTTCTTCTATCTTATTAACTGGAATTCTTCTACAAGAAAGAACTGTCCCTTTGCCTCCATTATATTAACTCATTCGGTTACTTATTTATACAAGTATGGTGTTATAGATATTAATTTTATTCTTTGGGTTATAATCCAATACTATTATCATTTATTTTGTTGCTTAATGTTATATGGTCCTAATAATGATTTTTTTTAAAAGAAATGCTTGTAGAATAAATGAGTGAATAAACTGCATCTTGCACACCAGGATACAGAAAAGAGAAACCACCACAGATACAACAAAATGTACTCATTGCCATAGTGATCCAATTAGAAGACTGCTGTCTACCTGACATGAGCTTCTTTAGCAGTTTCTGGCTCTTGTTTGAGTCACGTTGTAAAATATCCTGTTCTTCATGAGTACACACCTATAAAGTAATGAGAGTTAACATGTGATCCAATAGTTATATTGTTTGCCTGATATACCTAAAGTAACCTCAATTTACAGTATGACAGTAAAACAATGAGACTTGGTATTTCTTCATCCAGACAAATATACCAAAATATACACATCTGAAGGAGTTTTGCCCTCTGTCTCTTTCCATTTCTATTTTTACGAGCCATACAAAAACTTACCTCACTGGAAGTATCCCCAAATGACTTACTGGTTTAAAAAACAATCTAATCTACTTTCAAAGGATAAGTAGTTGCTACTGCTGAGAATACTGAAAAAAACATTTGAGACTTAAAAAAAAAAAAGCCAGAGGCTGTGGCTCACTCCTGTAGTCCCAGCTACTCAGTAGGCTGAGGTGGGAGGATTACCTGAGGTCAGGAGTTTGAGATCAGCCTGGGCAATACAGCAAGACCCCCATCTCAAAAAAAAAAAAAAAAGACTTAGGAAAAAAAAGCCTTCCAGTTCTAATCATGAAGCCCAAATCTGATGTGAGATATTAATTTATAAGCAGATATATTATAGAAAACAAGAAAAAGAGGCAAATTATAATGTCATCAGTGAGAACTAGTCTTTCATACTGTATATATTTTGTTCCATTGCCTTCGAATATTGCCTACTTATAAAATAATGAATATATTAAGCAAAGACAAAGCTCTGTTTAGAGTCACTGCAATTGTAGGAAGAGAGGCTGAGAAGGAGTTATAATGAGTTTATAAAACTGCAAAAGTTCAAGGCCAATTTGCTTTATTTATTTATTTATTTATTTATTTTTTTGAGACAGAGTCT